TCTTAGGTAATTCACCAAAAAAAGGAGGTTGACAGTAAGAATCTTTTTAGTGTGTCCAGGATTGCCCAAGAAAGAGGAGCCTCAGATTCGGGGCATGAATATTTTATTTGGATTAATATAGTCCGATTCTGAAAGAGCCCAACTGATCCTGCTGTTGTGGTTTAATAATATTCTATTAAGATCATCAGACTCTCTTTGCCCAGATTTTATGCCTGCCAATTTATTAAATGACTTCTTAATACTCTTATATTGGGAATAGGGGCCCCTCACCACAGACGCAAGGCTCCATTCAGTGTTGTATGTATAATCGTTTAGATAATACATCAATTGTCACCTAGATTATAAACCTTTCTCTTATGAATCACAGGATCTCAACATTGGAGGATACTTCAAAGACATTTAATTAACCATCCATCTGGTGCTGAAATTCCCCCTATAAAATAGTTGGCGAGGAGTCATTCATTTTTCCTTAAGCATCTCAAATAACAGGAAACTCATTACCTCTTCACTTCTCTGAACACCTTTGTTAGAAAATTCTGCTTTATATTGAACAAAAATGTGTTACTACTTTAGAGCCCTCAGTCTTAGGTTGACCTCTTGGGATCACATATAAGACAAACTAAACCTCAATAAAAATAAAAATAAAAATAAAAATACCCCCCCCCCCAAAAAAACCCAACACCCAAACGTTGATAAGCTCATGCTCTGGACAAACCTCTTTTCCAAGCCAGATTCCCTAAATCCTTTAACACCTCCTAATATAAAATGGTTTCAAATCATTACATCATTCTGGTTACCCTCCCAAGGACAGGTTTTCATTTCTCTTTTAAGGTGTGGTCTTGGGCATGGTCAAGTGCTTTTGTAAAATTTGCAAAATTAAGATATCTTTATCACACATGGTTAAGATGATGGTCACTTTCTGTTCTTCCTTCCCCTCTGTCATACTTCCCCTCATATCGAGCCACACTGGAGAGTTCATGAGCATTTCTGGGTAAATCTAAGGGGAAGTTGTGTTGGTGGTATATTTAGTTTGGTTTTAGGAGAATATATATCATGTGGTATATATATAGACTGATTGCTAGCTATCTTAGTGTAGGAATGGCTTCCAGGAATACCCTTAAGACCTACTGTGTTAATTTCATGGAGCATTGTGACACTAAGTTGCAGGTGTGTTAGAAAGCTAATGAAAGTGTTATTTTTTAAATCTTTTTATTTTTTAAAGATTTTATTTATTTATTCGACAGAGAGAAAGAGAAAAGGCAGTTGGAGGGACAGAGGGAGAGGGAGAAGGAGAAGGAGAAGGAGAGGGAGAAGCTCAGCTGGGAGTCTGATGTAGGACTCACTCGATCCCAGGACCCTGGGATCATGACCTGAGCTGAAGGCAGACACGTAAATGACTGAGCCACCCAGGAGCCCCCAAAGGGTTATTTTTATGAGTTTTGTGATATTGAAGAGATTTTTCAGCTTCTTAAAATATAAAATGTGCTATGCATTGAACTGCACCCTTACAATGAGGAAACTTTATGGGACATAAATTATAGCTCAATAAAGCTATTAAAAATGTGCTATGTTATCTTTTCTTATTTTAAATATTCACTTCTGTGTGTAAAGTAAAATCAGAACATATAACCAGGTATCTACAAAAAGTTATACCAAACATCATATTTGAGGGTTTAATGTTGGGGCACTTGTGTAGCTTAGTTGGTTAAGCGTTTGCCTTAGGGTCAGGTCATGGTCCCATGGTTCTGGGATCAAGTCCTGAATTGGGCTCCTGCTTCTCCCTTTCCTGCTGCCTCTCTGCACTGATTGTGCTCTTGCGCACACTCTTGCTCTCTCTCTCAAATAAATAAAATCTTTTAAAAAGGGTGAAATGTTGAAAGAATTCTCTTTGGGACTGGGATTAGACAAGGAGATTGCTATTGTTATCTTTGCAGAACATTGTATTGGAAGTTATAGTGAGTGCAGGAAGCCAAAAAAGAAAAAAAAGAAAGAAAGAAAGAAAAGAAAAGAAAAAGAAATTTAAAAATATAAGAATCAGGAAGGTGGAAATAAAATTGTTATTATACCAAAAGTATGACTTAGTTTATAAAAAATCCAAAACATTACATACAAAACTATTATTAGAATTAATAAGTAACTTTGGCAACATTGCTGGATATAAAAATCAATATGTAAAAATAAGCTGTCCTTTTATGTAATAGCTACAATTAAAAATTTAAAAAGTATAATTTACAATCCTATAACAAAGTGTTGAGCAACAAATGTAACAAAGGAGGTGCGAGGGGAAGTTGAATACAAAATTTACATAAAAGTGCAAAAGGTCAAGAATAGTCAAAACATCTTAAAGAACAAGGTGGGGAAATTTGCCCTATCAAATATCAAGATTTATTATAAAACCATAGGAACTAAGGCTGTGGCATGGCGTGAGCTGAAGAGAGTTCAAGAATAAAACCACCTGTATATAGAACTGACATTTTAGATCAGTGAAGAAAGTGTACTTTTCAAAAACGGTGCTGGCACAATTAGTTTTCCATCTGGAAAACTAGTAAATTGGGCCCCTACCTCACACCATACCTAAAAACATCAACTCCAGATGGAGTCAAAAGAAATATGAGAGGCAAAAATATAAAACTTTTAGAAGAAAATGTAAAAGAATATCTTAATGATCTCTGGGTATTAAAAGGTTTCTAAAAGAAGACACAAAAATGCATAACTTACAAAAGAAAAAACTGATAAATCAGAATACATGAAAATTAAGAACTTCTATTTAACAGGAAACACTATTGAGAGGGTGATCAGACAAGCCATAAATGTAACCAATCAAGAATTAGTATCAGATTCTAAAGAGAACTAAACTCTATAAACATAGAAAAATAAAACAATAGAAATATAGGTAAAAAACTAAGAGTCACTTCTGAAAAGAGAAAATTGAAAGGGTCACTAGTTGAGTTAAAAGATGCTCAACCTCTGGTGCCTGGGTGGCTCAGTCAGTTAAGTGTCTGACTTTGGCTCAGGTCATGATCCTCAAGTCCTTGGGTTGAGTCCTGCTCAGCGGGGAGCCTGCTTCTCCCTCTCCCTATGCTGCTCCCCCTGCTATGCTCTCACTCTGTCTGTCAAATAAATAAATAAATAAATAAATAAGTTAAAAAAATCTTTCTTAAAAAAGGGATACTCAACCTCCTTAGTAATCAAGGAAATGAAAATTAAAATCACAACAAAGTAGTATTTTATACTCACTGGAATCATAAAAATAAAAAAGTCTAATAAAAAATACCAAGTGTGGACACCTAGGTGGCTCAGTTGGTTAAGCGACTCCCTTCAGCTCAGGTCATGATCCTGGAGTCCCGGGATCAAGTCCCACATTGGGCTCCCTGCCCCACAGGGAGTCTCCTTCTCCCTCTGACCTCCTTCCCTCTCATGCTCTCTCTCGTTCTCTCTCTCAAATAAATAAAGAAAATCTAAAAAAAAAAAAATACCAAGTGCTGGTAAGCACGTGGAGGAAGTGGAATGTTCATCCATGGCTCATTGGATTATACAATTTATGTGAGCACTTTGGAAAAAGGTTTGGCATTAAATAGTAAAGTTGAACATGTGTAAATCCCAGGACCCAGGAACTGCAGTGCATATACATCATTTTGTTAACATTGCTCTATCATCATCCAATATGATACTGAGTGAAAGAAGCAAACCACAGGAGCATATATACATACAAACAACTAGGTTCCATTTATTAAAAAGCTCAGAAACAGAAAAAGGAAACAATATAGTATATTTTTTAGGGATACATACAGTCAGTAAGCCTATGAAGAAAAACAAGGAAATAATTACCTCAAATTTTAAGATAGTAGTTACATCTGATGGGGGAGGGAATTGTAATCAAGGAGGGACACACAGAGGGTTTTAAGAAATAAATATTTTATTTTTTTAAACCTGGGTAGTGAGTACATAAATAGTCATTCCTTAAAATTATTCTTTAAAGTACATATAAATGTCTTATGCTGCTGCTGTGTATGATATATTTCGCCATTTTAGAAAAGGAAAAAAAAAACTGCCCAGAACTGAACACACAATTCTAGTTAATCCATACTAGAAAACTATCACCTCTCTCATTTTGAGTATTCTGTCTCTGTTTTTAAAAAAGATGTATGTATTTATTTTGAGAGAGAGAGACAGAGGGAGAGAGAGAGCACGCTCATGGGCATGCAGGCACAGGGGGAGGGGCAGAGGGAGAGAGAATCCTCAAGCAGACTCCCTGCTGAGTGTGGACCCTGAAGCAGGCTGGATCCCAGAACCCTGAGATCACCACCTGAGCCGAAATAAAGAGTTGGACGCTTGACTGACTGAGCCACCCAGGTGCTCCTCTGTCTCTGTTTTTTTTGAACCGAGGTGTGCCTTTATATCTTTGAAATTTTCTCTTATTTATTTGGCCATTTTTCCCCCTTGTCCTCCCAGTCAGTCAAGCTCTCCCCAGAGCCAGATCATCCTTCAGGAGAACGTATATAGCAACATTTCTGAGCTAGCCAGGCTGAGGTCCAAATTGCAGTGGGCAGCTGTGGCACCTCTTCTGAAAGCCCACCTTAAAGCTTAACGAGCTTGCTTCCTGCCCTGTTTCTCTTGAGGCCATCTGCTTATAGCCCCAGCCTTTAGTGAGAAACCTTTGCAAATGGCTTATCAAGGCAAGCAATGCCTCATATTAGGTCATATTGATAAGATGAAGAGAGAATATTCTCACTCAAGAAGATTGCTACTTCCTGAAGGGTTAAAACCCCACCAGGGAAAACCCCTGCAGTTGTCATAGGTAGGGCTGGTCTCCTCAAGCTGATAACATAGTTCCATCCAGAGGAGGAAGGCAGAATGCACTTATTTCACTCCTTGAAGCTTTCTGGGCAATTGTGCATCTTTCATTTATTAAAGACTCACATACTCTGAGCTAGACAGAGGTCCCAACCCTGAAGAACCTCTCCAGAATCCAGGTTGCTGAATTTTCCCTGCTGCCTAGAGAGACTCCAAACCAGCTCTTGACAATGGGCAACTGGGTGGTTAACCATTGGTTCTCAGTTTTGTTTCTGTTAAGTGATGTTTCCTATCTATGAATTATTCTTAAGAGAGTAATTTATGTAATTTATAAACAGAGTAATTTGTTGATATTTCTTTTTTAAAAGATTTTATTTAGTTATTTGAGAGAGAGAGAGAGAGAGAGAGCACAAGTCAGGTGAAGGGCAGAGAGAGAAGCAGACTTCTTTGTGAGTGGGAAGCCCAACACGGGGCTAGATCCTGGGTCTCCAGGATCCTGACCTGAGCTGAAGGCAGATGCTTAAGCAACTGAGCCAGCCAAGCACCCCTGTTTGTTAATATTTCTAAAGTTATTTGAAATGGAAATATTCTATGCCAATATGGGGCCCATTGAGGCCAGTTAACAGTTAAAAGCCCAACTCTGAGATTACACATGTTTTATAAAATCTTGTGTATATGATGTATTTCAACATTTTAGAAAAGGGAAAAAAATCCAACTCCAGAAATTGGTTGGTAAAGAGACAAATAATATAAACCTCAAGTATTTGGAATCTCAGTGTTTTCATTTTCCATCTTTTTTCTCTTCCATGTCACTTCTAACTACTGCCATGCAACCTTCGTTTCTCTTCATCCTTTCCATACTACCAACAGCAAGATTTCATAAAATAATTGAATGTTTGAGATAGAAATATTCTTGGTGATAATGGCCCAGTGCTCTCCATTTTAGAAATGGAATGTGAGCTACATATGTAATTAAAAATTTTTCTAGTACTTAGGTTGAAAAAGGTGAGAAGAAGTAGGCGATATTAATGTCCAGTAGTTTATTTAGTTTAACCCAATATATCAAAAATGTTATCCATTCGGGGTGCCTGGGTGGCTCAGTTGGTTAAGCATCTGCCTTCAGCTCAGGTCAGCTTCAGGGTCCTGGGATTGATTCCTGCGTCGGGATCTCTGTTCAGAGGGGATCTTGCTTCTCCTTCTGCCTCCTGCTCCCTCTGCTTGTGCTCTTTCTCTCTTGACAAATGAATAGATTAGAAATCTTTTAAAAATGTTATCCTTTCAACATGTAATCAATATTGAAAATATTAACAAGATGGGGGTGGGCAGTGCTCTTCTTCTAAAACTAATATGTCTTACATATTCGGGTTACGCACTTGGCAGTAATTCACAGCATATTTGGGTGTGATGTGGTTTACTTTTCTACCACATTTGTAATTTTATTTATTCCATCTCCTTTGTGTGAATTCATGTATTATACCAAAATACAAGGGAAATGGGACTATTTGAAATGTCATATGGGAAATCTTTTAATAACTATATATAAATGAAATAATAATATTTGTCCTCATCTTCTCCCCCAGAGCAACGGCAAGACATTTTGCTAGATATTTGTTTTTAATGTTTTCTATAATTTAAAAATGTATAGATTCTCATAAATATTATTTTCTTAACCATGATACTATAACTTTCCTAGTTTTATCTTAAAATACCGAATGTCCTGAACTTTTATAGATGTTTATAATTTGTTTTAAGTAATTTTCATCTTTTTTTAATGTTCAGTTAGCTAACATATAGTTAATTATGCTTGACATATAATTTCCAATAAACTTTCCACTCAAAAAAATAAAAAAAAAGACAAAAGAAAATAATAATGAGATCATTTAATGTCTTTTATTTTTCCTAAGTTTTCGAAACCCGATGTGTATTTTGCACTTACAGTGTATCTGCATTAGGACTAGCCAAATTTCCAGTGATCACATGTGGGTAGTGGCTACGGCATTGTCTAGTGCAGCTATAAAGCAGCTCCTTTTTCACAAGGAAAATAAGACCCATATGTCACACTGTGAATGGATTGCAGAACGATCACTCAAATCCGCCTTCCCAGTGTTCAGGCCAGAAATTCTTCACCCCGCATGCCACGTATGCACAACCTCCTTCTCCTTACACACACACACACACACACACACACACACACACACACACCTATCCCCACTCTTTCTTCCATTTCTGAGCCACCCCGAGCTTGGAACTCCCTTTCTCCTTTCTCACTTTCCTAGATCTTTGTGTCAACCCCTTCTGGGGTAATCTCTTTTCTTCCATCTTTTTCCTTTGGGTCCCCTAGGATGGCCCAGGTGCTCGAGGGAAAAAGGTGTGAAGAGCAATCATATTCCCCTGGAAGGTTGTTTGTTTTGCATTCAACAAAAGGCTCAGTGCTTATTTTGGCAGGTTACCCTATGCTTTATATTTTCAACACTCGATCCTGTATATTTAATTCCGTTTGCACTAGCTGAAGAAACAGGGAACCTGGAAATGAGTTTCATTTCTGGTGTTAATTGAGGGATTTTGATCAAATTATTTATTCTCTCTAGACTTTGGGTCATCTGTGTGTGTGCGTGCGATAAATTAAATAACTAGATTAGATACAAATATTAAGTTTGCTTCTAGTTCTAAAATCCTCTGCATTTTGTATCTCTCTCTTAGTTTTTGCTCAGAGAGTTCATCGCCCATTATAGTGACTCACATTTAACCATGTAGCTTTGAATTTCCACCCCCTACCGATCTTGCTGGCAGGCTCAGACTTCCTGCTATCTCTGACATATACACTTAATGCATTATTATTTAGAGATTTTATTTATTTGAGAGAGAGAGAGAGCAAGAGTGAGAGCAAGAAAGCATGATCAGGGGAGGTGAAGGGGCAGAGGGAGAGGGAGAAGCAGACTTTCCACTGAGTGGAGATCCCAACTTGGGGCTCAATCCCAGGAACCTGGAATCATGACCTGAGCCAAAGGCAGATGTTCAACCAACTGAGCCACCCAGATGCCCTGCACTGTAAAAAAAAAAAGAAAAAAAAAGATTTATTTATTTAATTTGAGAGAGAGAGAGCATTCAGGGGGCAGGGCAGAGGGAGAGGGAGAGAAAGAGAGAGAGAGAGAGAGAGAGAGAGATTGATTCTAGCAGACTCCAAGCTGAGCAGGAAGCTGGTCTCGGGTTCGATCTCAAGACTCCAAGATCATGACCTGAGCTAAAACCAAGAGTCAAGCACTTAACAGACTGCATCATCTAGGCACCCCTGGCACTATTTTTTAAAATAAAAAAATAAATTATTCAAAAAACATTCTTACCTCCACCCTTTTGGCCAGGTCTTCTACCTCACTTTCCACCCATAATGGAGGAAATGATAGTGAAGATGGGAAATAGAATGCCTTACTCCCAGATGTCACTGTATTCACCTTGCCTACAGTTGGTGATGGTCTGACACAGAGGCAAAGAACTCTCAGATCCTGAAATTGTTCTGCTCTCTCTGTCTTTGGAACTCTTGAGGTGTCTGTGGCTGTCACTGCTCTTTTTCTATTAGGATCAAGAATCTCTGAAAGACAATCAATACTGGAAATGGAGTCTGAGCAAAGGATGAAGGAAGAAATGGATTAGTGAATACTGGTAATAACCTAGATCTGGAGTTAGCATTTATTGAGCTCCTACTATGCACCGACTGTTGTATTAATCACTCTGCATAATTATTTCATGTAAGACTCACAGCATTGCTCTGAGGGTAGATATCATTATTCTCTTCACTTTATGGAATACACTAAGATTTAGAGAAGTTAAATAACGTATCTAAGATTACAGAGCTAGAAAGTGGTGAAGCTAGAATTTGAGCCCAAGGAGTTTGACTCCACTATCACTTTATTTTTTAAGATTTTATTTATTTATTTATTTATTTGAGGGAGAGAGAGAGAAAGCAGAGGGGAAGGGCATGCATCATGAGCAGGGGGTGTAGGGAAGTAGGAGAAGCAGTCTTCCTACTGAGCAGGGAGCTCAACGTGGGACTACATCCCAGGACTCCAGGACCTCGACCTGAGCCAAAGGCAGATGCCTAACGACTGAACCACCCGGCGCCCTCCAATATCACTTTAAATCACTATGCTTATGCTGCTGGAGGTGTGTGAGTGAGTGGTCCAGATCTAGGGAATGTGAACAAGCCATGCCCTAAGCTAAAGGCTCTCTACTTGTCGGGCTGAGATGGTTCTGATGCATCTTGGGGACAACAATATATATTAAGGGCCTCCCAGTGCCCTAGAGTTCTGCTGAGTTACAAAGTAGCACTTCAAAGCTTGGGCCAGAGCTGCCTTGGTTGGTCTCCAAGGCAATGGGGCAGTGGGTTCCAAATTCCCCTTTGCCAGTGCAGCGACAGAGACTGGAATAGACAAAAGCAGTCTTAGGAGCTCAGATGAGTCCAGAGCAATGATAGGTTAATTTGAAAAGAGACTCACAATCTAAAAACAGGAAAATGTGTGTCAGGGAGTAATTAAAGAGGCAGGCCCATCTGGAATCGTTTAGTCCTTCCACATTGGTATTGTTATAGATGTTAAATTTATTCTTTATTTCTTTAAAAATCCATTTATTCACTTATTGCCATCTTTTAGTTACAATGGTTGGAATGCTTCCAGTCCAGAAGTTGGCAAATGTTTTCTGCAAAGGGCCAGGTAGAATGTATTTTAGGCTTTGCTAGGCGTGGTCTCTTTCACAGCTACTCACTGAATGATGAAAGCAGCCATAAACAATATAAGAATAAGTAGGTGTAGCTAAGTTCCAGTACCACTTTATTTATGGACACTGAAATTAGAATTTCATGTAATTGTCACATCATGAAATGTTATTCTTCTTTTGATTTTTCCGACCATTTAAATGTGGGGAAACAGGGACACCTGGGTGGCTTAGTTGGTTAGACGTCTGCCTTCAGCTTGGGTCATGATCCTGGGGTCCTGAGATCAAGCCCCGCATTGGGCTTCCTGCTTGGTGGGGAGCCTGCTTCTCTCTCTCCCTCTGCCTGCTGCTACCCCTGCTTGTGCTCTCTCTCTCTCTAATAAATAAATAAAATATTTAAAAAATAAATATGTGAAAACAAACAAAAAAGTAAAAACCATTCTTAATTTGTAGGCTGTACAAAATAAACGGTGAGCTAGATTTGGCCCATGGGCCTTGGTTTGCTGACCCTGGTCATTAGCATCTGACGAATGCATGTCTTGAAGTGCTAACTCTCTCTGAAAGTAAGCTGGATACTAGAGGGATTGTATTCATTTACAATGAAAAGAGATAAACATAAAAGAGCCAAAATGGTGACACTATTTCCTATCCCTAATCTATTCCTTCCTATATCCAAATTTTACTTGGTTCTTTGCTTGTTTTTTTCTTCCTCCAGGCTACTTGGTTGGGGCTGAATATTTTCCTCTTTGTGCATGCCTTCCAGTCATATGAGAAAGCCGATAAGTACTACTATACAAGAGAAGTCTTGGGGGTGAGTATCACACTTTCGATATGGAGAATCTCTAGGTTTTTTTGTTTGTTTGTTTGTTTGTTTTGTTTTTGGGTTTTTTTTTAGTTATTTGTCACCTTGGCTCCTTTGAGACCCAAATGCCCCAATTTCCGCTAGGGTTAGGGTACCCAGAAAAAAAAATACAGGATGCCCAGAGAGAGAGCATGATCTGGGTGAAGAGCAGAGGGAGAGGAAGAGGGAGCCCGAGGGGGTGCGGGGAGGTTGGATCCTGGGACTTAAGGATCATGACCTGACCTGAAGGCAGATGCTTAAACGACTGAGCCACGGAGGCACCCCCCTCTCCCAGTTAAATTTGAATTCCAGAAAAATAAATCATTTTTTGGTATAACTATATTTTGAGTATTGCTTGGGACATAGGTATGCTAAAAAAAAATTACTCACTTTTTAAAATCTGAAGTTCAGATTTAGCTGGGCATCTGGTACTTTTGTTCACTAAATCTGACAGCTCTATGTAAGGCACACTCCCCAGACCCCATGATAAAAACACACAATAAAGAAAACTATTAAGCAGTCATTTTAAAATGACTCAAGTACTACCATGGGGTGTGAGGGGAAAGCTGAATAGATCTCCTGCCCCTGCCCCTACTTCATTCAAAGCAGCCTTTACCTGACTTTTTAAAAAAAAAAAGATTTATTTATTCATTTTTATGTGTGTGTGTGAGAGAGAGAGAGCACACACCACATGAGTGGGAGGAAAGGGATGGGAGAAGTAGACTCCCCACTGAGCAGGGAGCCCCTCGTGGGACTCGATCCCAGGACCCCGGGATCACAACCTGAGCCAAAGGCAGAGGCTTTACCAACTGAGCCACCCAGGCGCCCTTCAGCCTTTATTTGTCTTATGGACTCCTGCTTATGATTTCCAGAAGGAGTTTGGTTTAAAACAAGTAAATAAACAGCTTGAAAGCCACCGCTGTGGACTGATCTCACGGAAAAACACCTCTCCATCTAAAAAGAGGGATACATAGGGGGTCTGTGGGGTGAGTAGCACGGCAGAACTCAAGACCTGAAGAAAGGCAGGGGTCGGGTGAGAATAACAGGATGGAGAAGGCTGTGGAAGTGGTAGGTGAGGAATAGAAGAGGGAGGGTGTGGAGTGGATAGGGCACGTTGATGTGGAGGTGACCAGAGAGAAGCATGGAGGTGAGACTGATTGTCTCATAGGTTTATCAGTCTTAGAAAAGCCAATTTGACTGCTAACTCTAATGAGTTTTTCAATAGCAGGTAAGGGATTTGGTTAAATCACTTTCATCTTGATTAGATCATTGGCTTTCCACAAAGACCTGTCCAAGGTACATGTTTAAAGAGTTTGTCCTAAAAAATACTTCTTTTCTCTCTATGATCCAAGGATCCATGTTGAGATCACAACCAATTTGAATGTTCTGTTCATGGCTTATTTCACCCTGCTGTTTTCTATTTTAAATGTTGTTCCTTGATCCTTCTTTGGAAACCATAACTCTAAAGGAAGTGTTAATTTATTTTAAAAATAGCTTTTTAGTAAGAGAGTGATGCAATACATGTGACTAGTTATTAAGAGCTTAATTAGCTCATGACCAAAAAGTCCACAGCAGAAAAATGAATCATGCTGATATCCTGTGGACATTTCATTCACTTCATTTATTAAAATCTTCTCTATTAAAAACATTTAATTATAAATAATGCTACTTTCTGTGACAGCAAATGATACAGAAATGTGTAAGCAAAAATGTGAAAATTGTCCTCCCATTCCATTCCCCAGAGATAACCACTGTTAATAGTTTCTGTGTGTGTCTGTACAGATATACTGATGTAAGTTCACAGATGCATCAGACACACAAGTTTTGTTTTTGAGGTGGGTAATATTCTTATCCACTTTTTAATTTCCTGCCTAGAGTAAAGTTTGCCCTTTTTTTGGGTGTATATACCACTCTATGAATTTGGAAAAACACATACACTATAGCAAAGAGGTCTTTTTGTTTGTTTGTTTTTTTGGTGTGTTTGAGGGTTTTTTGTTTTGTTTTCACCAAGAAAGGGATCATATTGTTGATATTGGATGGAAATTGCTTCTTACACTTAATGTAGTTCAGATAGCTTTCCATGTGGGTACGTAACGAGTGATGTGCTGGAACTAGCTCGTACCAGCTTGCAATAGCCTCTGCGTACATCTCTTCCCAGCCCTGTATTCATGGTGTTCAGTTACAGCAAATTGGTATCTTGAAATCTGCCATGACAGGGGTATTGACATCACATAAATTGGCAAAGGCTGGAAATCAAGATCTCCTCTCTTCCCTGGAAAACTGGTTCTTAAACATTTACCACTCCTACTCCCCTGCATATAGCTCTCATCCTTTGAAGACCCTAACCATCCATGGCATTGATGTGCCATAATTTATTTAATCATTCTGTAGTTATTTCTTGAATTTGTGCTTTCTCTAGGAAAATACAGAGAGTTATTTGATTCATTATGAAGCAGAGCAAATAGGTAACAGGAGAAGCAGTTTAAATTCATAGCCAGTGAGACATTAATGACAGCAGCAGCTGAACTGGAACATCAGGTGGTGTTGATACTGAGAAGTGCACATAAATCGGGATATTTCGGTGCACTGCAATGGGGAAAGAAGATTTCCTCTAAAAAGAATTCATCCCATACAGATAGCCCCTCCAGAATATGGAACTGTGAAAGTGTAGTCCTGTATTTTCCACTCAATTGCTGATTTTAGCTTTAAGAAACCTCTGTGTCTCAAATAAGCAAGCTGCGCAAACCAATGTGGAAAGGCAGGATCTTTAAGATGAGCAGAGAAAATTTACTCAGAAACGGAACAGAATGTCTCTCTGAAAAACAGTCGGAGTATGACTCAGCAGAGGGAGAAAACACAGGTCACATGGAAGAGCCAGAAATGGAAAACAGTAGGGCAGCTCCTGTTCACTGCGCTGCCGAATGTGGTAAGCCATTATGGACGTCAGGCAGATCTTGACTTGGCTTGATGTCACCTTGCCCTGGGTTTAGGTGTCTCATGGAAAATGAGCTTTTGTGCTAAAAATATTATTAGAAAAATTTAGGGGGGGAAAAAGAGAGAAAGAAAGGAGAAATCGTTCATTCTGACCCATATTCTTCCTTTTGGTGAGTCGCTGATTGGCACACGTGTAAGGCTGGCTGTTATGACATTGGCACAGTCTATGTATAGCTTGCAGCCCCAAGTACAGGGAGCTGACTCAGAGACCAGTTGCACAGAGTCAAGGAGGGAAGTTGGACTTGACCACCATGAAGTTGAGCATATTCTGTCTGGCCGATACCTAATCAAGCCTGTTTGGGGCCTAAGTACTTGGCTTGAAGCACGGCTTCCTTGTCTCTTTTTCCAGCAACTTGTACTGCTGGAGCAGACTGATCTTGATGTATGCTGCCTGGCCACCCAAGGAAATCAGTTTGAAATTCTGTTTTCAGAAGCTCTCCTTTCTCAAATCTTGGCCTGAGTTTAAAATGTTTGCTCTGAGGGGTTCACTAGTTTTGCCTAAGCTGTATTCAATCATTAAAGGTGACTTAAATATAAATGGTTAAATTTTTTGTTGTTTACATGATGAGTACATGCTTATAATAGCAACATTAGAAAGTACAGAAAAGAGAAAAAATAGTCACCGTCTGTAATTATACTTCTAAATATATAAACGTTATTTAAAATGCAAATAAAAATATATACAATCTTCAAGATTGTTTTGCAAATGACAGTAAAATAATAATTGAGTGTATTTTTTCAAAGATTTTATTTATTTGATAGAGAGAGAGCACAAGTAGGCAGAGCGACAGGCAGAGGGTGAGGGAGAAGCAGGCTCTCCGCTGAGCAGGGAGCCTGATGCGGGGCTCAATCCCAGGACCCTGGGATCATGATCCAAGTTGAAGGCAGCCACTTAACTGACTGAGCCACCCAGGCACCCTAGTGTGTTTTTTTCCCAATATTTTATTTATTTATTTGAGAGAGAGATAATGAGAGAGAGCCTGAGCAGGGGTGAGGGGCAGAGGCAGAGGGAGAAGCAGACTCCCTGATGAGCAGGAAGCCCGATGACACAGGGGCTCCATCCCAGGACCCTGAGATCATGACCCAAACCAAAGGCAGAAGGCAGACGCTTAACCAGCTGAGCCACCCAGGCACACCAATAATTTAGTGTATTAAGCAAAGATACTCACTGCAAAGTATTACTTCAATAGGATGTATTTGTTAATGTGAAATTATTGAATCCTATTCTCTTTTGTATTGTTAGATGTATAGTCAAATATCTCCAAGCAACTTGTCATGAGAATTTCTCAATTTACTGTTAAGTTCAGCAAATGTTCTGTCATTTTGCAAACAGAGAGCCTAGACCTAGTGTGCTGGCTACTGAGAAAGGGGTGAAGAAGATGTCGCCCTTTTCCAGGTCTCAGACAGGTGGATTGGGCTGTTCTCACTTCCTAGATGATGGGATGAAGCAGCTGATGATCTCTTCTCTCCTCTGCTCTAGTCGGCATTGGCCTGGGCCCGAGCCTCTGCTCGCTGCCTGAATTTTAACAGCATGTTGATCCTGCTTCCTGTGTGTCGAAATCTGCTGTCCTTCCTGAGGGGCACCTGCTCAGTGAGTCCCAACCATTCCTAGGTCAACTTTCACATTAAAGACAAGAGACCCTGAACCCCTCAGTGGGGCAACCCAATACCTTCAAACTCCTAGGAAGGGAAACCAGGGGTCTCCTTTGGTAGCCAAGGGGGTAGGCAAGGGTGGGTGGGTATTGGTATGCTTTAAGACATGTTGGTTATGGGTTACTGAATTTTATAAACTGCCTGGAGACACCTGACCTTGATCACTTTCCATTTGTAGTTTTGCAGGCGTACCCTGAGAAAGCAATTGGGTCACAACCTCACCTTCCACAAGCTGGTAGCATATATGATCTGCCTACTCACAGGTAACTGATGCAAACCACAAATGTGCAAGCTCGTGAGCACTCAGAGTACAGTTTCATTCATCTTCACATTTAGACATTCGGAAAGTATTTCTCAAACACCTGGCACTATTTACCAGGCACTGTCGTAGGCAGTCCGTCTTTCCTTCCTTCCTTCCTTCCTTCCTTCCTTCCCTCCTTCCTCCACCCCTTCCTTCCCTCCTTCCTCCACCCCTCCCTTCCTTCCTTTCTTTCTTTCTTT